TTTTATCTCTCTTGATGTTTTCTTTCTAACCAACATTATTTTTTCCCTTACAGCTTATATACCCCAGTAGAATCTTTCAAGCAATATAAAAATTACAATGTGGTTTACATACTATTTTTAAGTGAATGATTAGAGTGAATACAAGTAAAAAACAACATGTTTTCCATATCCCTTACATGATTAAACATTTTTCGTATTACAGGTGAAAAACAAATTATTCCCAGGAATCCACATACATTCATATCCAAGCAACATGTTATAGAATGTAAGCAAGCAAGGTATTTCTCTCAGTTAGTTCTTTTACTGGTAGGCTGAATTTTGTGGTTACAAAGTAAGGACCAATAATTTTATTATTTGTCTCAAAAGGTAATCTCACAAGAATTCTTAGACGAATCACAAACCTAAACTTTTATATATAAAAATTAGTCAGCTCTATTTCAAATCCTCAGGGTGCATACCCATTAATCAATGTTTTTTATTTTTACATCAGGAAGCTGAGGGCAGAAATGGGTACAAGGAATTAATCATCACCCTTGATTACCAACACATCCTAGCAAGAAAGATGCATCAGCTAATAATAATTAGGCTGCTTCATTCTTGATCCTTGACCTCAATGAGTCCCCCAATCAACTATGTGCCTTTCTAAACTTTAAATTGTTTTCCAAGATTTTCTACCTCAAAGCCATTAACAAAAACATATTAACCTAACGTTGTTATTATTTAAAGCTATGATGCACACTCAAACCCGTGAACACATCTCTCAACATTAAGAATAAAATAACCTGGCCGGGCGGTGGTGGCGCACGCCTTTAATCCCAGCACTTGGGAGGCAGAGCCAGGCGGATCTCTGTGAGTTCGAGGCCAGCCTGGGCTACCAAGTGAGTCCCAGGAAAGGCGCAAAGCTGCACAGAGAAACCCTGTCTCGAAAAACCAAAAAAAAAAAAAAAGAATAAAATAACTTGAGCTAACTTAGCTTGTGGGGCTCAATTGTTTTTCTTAATCATTAACCTAAGCCACAGTCTATATGGCTTCTCAAGAGAAACTCGCTATGTGACAGTTCCTTATTTTCTATCTTCTGTGACTGCTGTTTTATCAGGGAAGGGGGTAACACTTTCAACAGTACAGCTTAAAAGGAAATCATCTTCATGATAATCCACAAGTAAAAATGCCCAGTAGAATGGGATATTTCCAAGAGATAATCATTCTACATTAAGGGTAGTGGGGATATTCCCATACCAATTCACACCATGACAGATACCAGAGAAAAATGGCAGTGACAAACATGTAAAGACACAGCAGTATCAAGAGACATTCTGGGGCCAAAGCACTTGGGAGCCTTGTCTATCCGAGATTCACCTATCAGAGTTTTGCTTCCTGGTGGGCCGATCTCCTGAAGTCAGTTGCTACCTGCTGCTCCTCCTACATGACCACCAGCACCTGAAGTTCGTGAATGGACCACAGAGTCTCAACATCATGTTCAACTGTAGATGTAACCAACCGTCTTATTAAATAAGGAACACAGAGCCAATGCAAAGACGAAAGCCAAGAGATCAGAGCTAAGAGCCTTACCTGCCTGCTGCAGCTAGCCTCTTCAGCCAAGAGACCTCTCCAAAAGAGAGCTACTTCCTGTCTGTTTGTCTTTATATAGACTTTCTGTTCTGCCTTCTCATTGATTGTAAAACCAACCACATGACTGCCTCGTCACTGTCTGTTGGCTGTATCCTTGAACACACAGAGATCTACCTAGCTCTGCCTACCAAGTACTGGGATTAAAGGCGTGCACCACCAACGCCCAGCTCTGCTATGGCTTGCTATTAGCTCTGACCCCCAGCAACTTTATTTTTTAACATACAAATAAAATCACATTTCAGTACAAATAAAATAACACCATATTCAAAAATGGGTAAGCCAATGTGTCCACAGCCTCCTTCAGTAGCACATTCTGCTCCACTTATTAAAGATACCATGTGATGAAAATATAAAGACTCTAGGCTGCTGTTTTTGCATCCTATCAGCTTTCCACTCCAACAGACTTTGTGAAATGTTCTTATTGTCCTGACTTTGTAGTCCATTTAAACCAAAGCATACAAAAGAAGGACCAAGCATGAAGCAGACAAGATGTTGTATCCAACCTAGACATTGCTGTGTGTTAAGAGTAAAAATGGTGCAATAGAACACTGGTTTTCAATGGTAGACCATATGAAAATGGACAAGATATACAAAGTATTCTACAAAATGATTTCTATTTATTACAGTTGTTCCCTGGAGATAATGTATGGGGAGGGGAATCCATAACTTAAGACTAACCACAGAGCTGAGTGCAGCAGCCACGTAATTCTCTCTCTGGTCCTTAAAGCATGATCAGATTAGAACAAGAGACTTTCTCGGAGCTGTTATGACAGATCACAGTCACCCCGCTAGCATCATCAGTACTAATGGGGGCTAGGGAGATGGCTCAGTAGATATGAGCACTTGCTGCTCTTCAAGAGAATCTAAATTCTGTTCCTAGCATCCACATCATGCCATCACCTGTAATCCAGCTCCAGGAAATCCAACACCCACTTCTGTCCTCTACAAACTCACACATGCACACACACACACACACACACACACAGAGGCATGCACGCGTGCACACACACACACCTTTAAAAAGTAATCAGAATAATAAAACATTTTTCAGGATGTGCTGGAATTTCTCTCTCTCTCTCTCTCTCTCTCTCTCTCTCTCTCTCTCTCTCACACACACACACACACACACACACACACACACACACACACTTACCTTGACTTGGGAGAATTGGTCTCAGTACACCCAAACTCAAAGGATGCTCATGTTCCCTGTATATATTGGGTATTGGTGTAAAGGCAGCATACTTCCTCCCACACACTTCAATCATGTCTAGTTCTTGTTCCATGCCTGGTACTGCAAATGGTCCCCATGTGCATCATCTTGGAACAGTAATAAGAAAAACAATCTGTGGATTAGAAATCCACAGAGCCAGAGTTGACTGTACTATAATGTTGGTGGCTTAAAAACCAACCACACAGATTTGTCATTGTCGTGGCTCTAGAGGTCAGAAGTTCAGGGACAACTCAGGGACTAACAAGTTATTGACCAGCTGTGCTTGTGGGAGATCCTGGGGGAGGACCCATTTCTTTCCATCCCCCAGGTCCTAAAAGCTAATTCAAAAGCTTTCCCTCAGAGCGTGTTGCCTCCTCTTTAAGCTCTCTGCATATAACCTGATAAAGAAATCTCAACATTAAAACATACCAAGAGTGTCCAATGGAGATTTTAAAACAAAGAAAATCGTTTTTTATTATCTGGAACCTCCTAGCTTGGCCCCTGGCATTTCTTGGTAACAGCTTAATCAAATAGTCCCTCTCAGTACTCCATTCTATTTTCTATGCTCCTTGTATCTCTACTGTGCCCTGAATGACACCTGAATGGTACTGAATTCTTATCAAACTTTAATGTATACTAATTATTGGACGATTAATTGACTGGAAAGTTTCACTTATAGATTGCATCTTTTTAAAAAAATAGACTGCCAGATTCTTTTTATTACAACAACAACAATAATAATGTACAGTTGGTGGGAGTCATTTCTCTCCTTGTAGCATAAGGAATAGGGAATCAAATTCAGGTCTCCGGTCCTGGCGGCAAATACCTTTACCCAGCAAGCTGAACTGATGGATAGCCCACAGATTAGCAGCTTCTTAAAAGACTGAACATGCAACTCATGTTTATATCCCTAGGTATTTATTCCAGAGAAATAATTATTTAAGTCTCATTCAAAGCATATACATTATGTTTACAGCAGCTTTCCACTGTGTAGCCAAACCTAGAAAGCACACAGTTAGTAGGGTGCATCCACACCATGGAATGGGACTCAGCAAGCAAAGGGAAACAACTATCCATACACACAGCCATGGGGATGGGATGCAGAGAGTCACACTCGGTGAAAAGACAGCAGCCCAGAGGGTTATACAGTACATATGATCATAAGATTCTATAACACTCTTGATTTTAAGGCGATATCCCCGGGACGATCTGGATAATGGGTACAAGAAATTTTTCCGTATTATTTTTGGTTTGGGTTTTATTTTGTTTTTGAGACTGAGTTTCACTCTGTAACCCAATCTGACTTCAAACTAGTAATCCTCCTGTTTCATCCTTCCAAACACTGGGATTGCAATCATCACCCTGCACAACCTGACTTACCTCTGTATTATCTGACTCTGCAATTAATTCAGTTAAGGTTTATCTTCAAAAGACATGTTAAATAAAGTATTTACCATAAAGCTGTTCACAAACAATAATTTTTGTACTACCAAATTTCTTCTCTTTTCAGGACTGTAGTGTGTTGTTCATGGATTCTTATTTTCCATGATGCTCTGTTGCCTTCCATCTATTGCTCTGAGCTTTTCCCATCCTGACCAAGAAGATATCGTCAACTTAGGTATCGGTTTGGATTTCAATCTCCAGCAACACTGCAACAAGGAATGGGGCCTTCACCATTTCCCAGACAGAGACTTATTCTGAAAATAGCATTTTCTCAGCCAGAATGGGAGCTCATGGCTGTAACCTCAGCACCGGAAAGGCTAAAGTACAAGGACCCTGTGTTTTAGTTCAATGAGAGCCCTGTGAGCTCAGTGTCAAGATCGGACTTCCAGGGGTTGCCTCCGTCTGAGAATCTTTGACAGACTTTTCATCTCCTCTTTGTTTCTCTACCAAAGTTGAGTACAGTCTGCTGGGCATCATCCTTAGCAAGTGTCCACCGCACTTTGGTTACCCTTGTCTAGGAAGTTCCTTTACGGTTTTGACATCATGCTGCCGCTGTTGCTGCATCCATATATGTCCCCATTGCCATTCAGATCCTGTCCACAGAGCCCGTGATGGCTGGGGTGACCTGACTGAGGGCAGGGCAGGATCAGCAGTCTGGTATTTCGTCTTGATGAGTGTGGTTTCATATAAAATTTCTTTCTGCTTTCTTTTTCAGTGACTACAGGGAAAATCCAGGAACACATCACCAATCAGGTATTTACTCATCTTCTCACAAACTAATTCAAAGTCATTTTGAATGCTAATACTTGCTTTAGTAAATGTTTCGATCAGCGCATGCTCATCATTAGCTATGAGCAATAGACACAGCCGTGGTCCTTAGAACCAGTAAATCACTCTGTGAATGACCATGCACTTTCTTTGTCTGCCTCAACCCCACTGTTTCCCCCTGCCCCATCCTACCAAAAACAGGAAGAGTAGACACACCCTGACACTCTAAACACATTAAGTGTCCCTGTGACCAAGTTGTGACTTCTGGAACAAATATACTCACAACTCAGGTGGCTCTCGTCTGTCATCTCAAGTATTAGTTCAACTAGATAAAATTGAATGGCTGCCAGGGCCCACTAGAGAGGGAGGCACCTCAGGGTGACTCGTCCTTCTCACCATTTCCCTGTGCTCACCTTAGCTGGTGTGTTCCTGTTTCACACTCTTCATGCCCAAACTCTTTGTGATCTAATGTCTGTATTGTCAGCTATATATACTCTTTACAGGACTGGTGACATGTAGCCACCCATGGCATAAACCAAGAAAGGCTGTCACCAAGAGCTATACTGCTGGCCTGCTGACCCCTTCCTTCTGCAGGCCAGTTGAGCTGCAGGACCTCCACATGCTGCTTGCTTAAGAGACTCAGAAAAGTCTGACACTGGCCTGTGGCAAAGTACTGCTCAAATTTCCCTCCCAGATACAAATCTCCATGGTTTTTCTTCTTTCTTTTTCTCTGGTATAAATTATAACTCACCGTTGCCAAGGAGAAAGGTGGTAAGTGTGCATTTATATTGGGTAAAGTACATTTTTCTTTTCCTGGTGGTCTACTTTTTATTGTTATGTTTCTTTTTATTATCTTTTTAGTTAGCATGAAAATAATGGGTTTCAGTAGACTTTAGATGTAGCTCTGTTAGTAGAGTGCTTTGGTAAATGAGCATGAAGACCTGCATTCTATCTCCAACACTACTTCAATTAGATGTGCTAGGGTGTGCCTGTAATACAGCTCTTTGAGGCAGAGGCTTGGGGATGGGATTAAAAGTTCAGGCTATCCTCGGTTCCTGAAGGAGATGGGGACCAATCTAGGATACATGGGATCACTGCAGCATCCTCATACATCCGTATTATACTTTGCTGGTGTTTACCTCTTCCATCATCCTCATTTGTCTCCCCCATTCTCCTGGTGGTCCCCCAAATAGTATCCCTTCTACTTTCATACAGAGTCTGAGTTTGGCTGCAATGTCCCTGGAGTCCCTGGATAAATACCCAAAGAAATCTAAGTCACACACCACCACAGAGGTACCTGAATGTCTGTGTTTTTGTGGCAATGATCTTTTTTATCTAAGTTACTGATGTCTTCCAAAAATAAGCTCCAATTTTAGCCCCCATTGTCAACTCACTCAAATACAAATACTGCTTTTTGCCTTGTCAGTACAAGATACCCCTGAATTCATCAAGCTTTAAACACTGAGAACTCAATTTGCTTAATATACCCTACAGCAAAATCAATAGGCAGGATCAAGCATTTGTCAGACACATTTTTGCTTTTCTTGACAGACAGACAGGTAGTAGACAGACAGACAGACAGACAGACATTTGGGATTTATTAAATTGGCTACAGGATACCATCTGGGAGCTCAGCAATCGCTGTTTTCACACTGGAGAGGCTGAAAACCAGTACCTACCCAGTCCACAAGGCTGGATGCCTCATTCGCTCCAAACAGTGTTGAAGGTCTAGAGGATTCCTGGAGGGCCACAAGTCTTTAGTCCACGTTGGCAGGCTAGAGAAACTGAGTCCACACGCCAACCAAAGAGAGCAGCAAAGGCGGCAGCAGGGTAGGTGAACTCACCAGAAAGCTCCATCAACAGCTGGGCTGCTGCAGCTGGGAGGCGCCACCAGACCTCACAGTGGGTCTTCTGCCCCAGTCAGTACAACTGACAACATCCTTCTAGTATGACCAGAGACATCTCTAGTCTGGCTGAACCCTCACTGGTATGAGCAGAAGTTTGCATTGTCAGTGATTCTAGATTTTGTCAAGTTGACAATCAATATCAACCATCAGAACCATCAACAATAATAATAATAGCTCTAAAAATTTCAACAGGAGTAATTAGTCTTAAAAGAGGTAAGCCGTGGATGGCCAGGGCTCTACATTTAATCGGGAGACCAGTGCTGGAGTAAAGGACTGTTAATCTAAGACATTAAACATGGGCAAAATTTTCAGCTTCAAAGACAATTGGAGAAAATGTAGGTACATCAAGGAAGAGATCTCATCATGAATTTTTTTTTGGGGAGGTGAATCTCAGAAGACAAAAAACATGAATGTAATTTTCCCTTTGGGGGATTATGGCCAGGAGTTTCCCATCCCTCTCCCTCACCCACTCCATTTTGAATAGTTTTAAGGGTTGTGTTACAAGACAGGAGCAGCCCGCATGGTATTTGAGAACACCATGATTGTGTGATGGCAAAGTCAGCTGCACTCTCTCTCACACACAGGGCTCATTTACCTTCTTTGCTCTGTCTCTTTACATTCCTCCAATGAACTCAAGTGGTTTTATAAGGCAGACCCTTAGTTAAGACCTGAAAGTGTATTGTTAAATTTATACATTTACCACAGACAGAATGCTTTTCTCACAAAGGCATCATCCACTTTCCCTATTGATATAACGGGTAAAAATAGTTTTAAAAAAAACTATCACTATACATATGTATTTTGCTTGTTGAGACTTTTTCCCTCACCACCCACCCTCCTTTCTCTCTTCCCTTCTCCCTCCCATTGGTCCCGTTGTCTTCCATATATAGAGAGTCACATATGTATGATGTTATGTATCTACATGAAATCTAGGAACCACAAACAGAAAGAAAGCATGGTATTGCCTTTCCGCAATGGGCTTAATTCATCTAATATGCTTATCTCCAGCTGCACCAAGGCAGGTCCTTACAGGAGAATTTCTGTTTCCTGCATGCTGTGCCTTTGTTCATTTGGCTAAACTAATAGAATGTGTGGACACCAAAACAGAACACCAAATATTTACTCATGATCTTAAACACGAATCTTATGCCAGTCTCAATAAGCAATTGAAAGCCTTTGAACTTTAACATAAGGGGGAATGCCTTAATGCATTGCTCACACAGCCCTTCTCAGGACAGAATTGCTTGTGCAATGTTTGTCCAAGGGCTCACATTTCTAATACCCCAGTGGAATTTCTATTCATCCTTCTTCCAATGAGGGACGTGCTTCCCACTCTCAAAAACACAGCCCAAAGAGTCATCTGACAACTTTACCCAATTTCTGGAAGAAAAGCTAAGCCATCCCCATTTGTTTTTTTTTCTTTTTTCCTCTTCTTTGTTTCATTTTTTCTGAAACAAGATTTTACTGTACAACCCAAGCTGGTCTGGAACTCACTAATGTGGCCCAGGCTGCCTTCGAACTCATGGTGATCCTTCTGTCTTCCTCTTTTTGAAATCATTTTATTACCAAAGGAATCTGGCTCTTGAGAAGCATTTACTTTCATTGGTAGGTGGATGTGTCTCAGCGTGAGTGTTGAGCTTGCGGGAGACAGGTCTCTCCTACAATGTGCCTTCCAGGGACTCAACTCAGGTGTTAGGCTTGGTGGCAAGTACCATCCCACGAGCCCCAAGAGAAACACTTTTGAAAACTCACTTTGGATAATCAATACAATATTCCTTATCAGACAGCAATGCAAATGGAATGCTGTTGAGCACTAATCTTGCCCCTAAATCCTCCCTACTGGGCACTGTAAATTGTGTAATTAAACTGAAGTTGAAAATCGAGCCTTTCCTCTCATCCTTTCTTTTCCCTGCAGTGGGCAGAGAGAGTTGTGCACCAACATGAGAAATCGAGGCTGCAGAGGGAGGGGTGCTCAGGAGCCACTGGGTGGTATCCAGTGTGTGCCTGTAGCCTCCAACTCCGTTAGCACACCTGATCTCTGAGAACAAGCAAACGCTGGAGTCCTCTGGGGGGAACCCTGAATCCCCTCCCATGTAACCCACTGGGGATTTCAGACTGCTTTTCCAAAGTAACTCGTTAATGCAGCTTGTTTACGAGAAAAGGACAAAAGTGAAGAGCAAAGTGCTTGGCAGCTCGTGGCCCGAGATGTCATGAATGCATGACCCATTTTTTCAGCCGTGTCTTTGGCAACTTACCGCTGTAGCAATCTCCTATTTGGAAAATGTTACTTGTTGAGATGAAACCTCCTATGCGTTTGCTGAATGTTTTTCACCACGGTAGATTAATGCAAATACCTTAAAATACTACCAAAAGTACTTCCAAAACCAGATAATTGTCATCACGAGGAGAGAGGGAAAGACAGGACATGAAAACCTTTTCCTTTCGCTGCTCGAAACAGCCTTGCTATAGAGCCAACAACTGAAACCTCCAGTAAATGAATACCAGCTGTTTATGTCCTTTAGGAAGCAGGTCATCAACACCCTTAGTGCATCAGGACCTCAGGCTTTTGCAGCGAGGTGACAGGGAAGGGCACTTGGTATGGTGATCCATGGTTTTGGAAGAGGCGTTTGTGTTGTGAACGAGGCCAGCTCAGGGGCTGGTTGTGAGACAGCTTTGGCCTGACTGAGTGCCAGGTCAGTGAGAGCCAAGTCCACAAGTGTGCGCCCAGGCGTTCATGAGTCTTCTGGAGTTGCCACAGCAGATCAGTGGGAATGAGGGCTTTAAACCAAGGCAAAGGTGTGCCTTACAGGTCTGGAGGCTCTGTGTTCAAAGACAGGGTGTCATGGAGGCCACTTTTCCTCTAAAACCAATGGGCAGGATTCTTCCCTCCACATCTTCGTGCCTGGTGATGACCAGCAACCTTTTGCAATCCCTGACTCATTGCCACACCACTTCAATCCCTGCCTGTTCTCCTTCTCCTGACTCCACTCCCCTCAGAAGATGAGGAGATGCCAGCTATACTAGCCAGTAGTCATGAACTGGTATTAATGAACACATCTTGATTATATTTATAAAAAC